AATACTCCGATACATAAAACAAGTACCTGTGCCGCGTCCGCCATCTTCAGGGACCCGAATCCGCCGCACACAGGACCTCCATCGCGTCTTCAATGAAGCAAGATGGCTGCGACCTCCTGTGTCATCTGCTCCATTCTGACCTTTTCTCCCGCCGATTGGATGATTGACAGACTTCCTCACCAGTCAGGAGTGACTGGTGAGGAAGCCTGTCATCATCCAATTGGCCAATCAGCGAGAGAAAAGGTCAGAATGGAGCAGATGACTAGGCTGTGACACGGAGTGGCTGAAGCAGACGGAGAAGACGACACAAGATGAATGGTAACCGCTGGCTGATTCTCAGCGGTTACCAGCCTTGTAGAGCAGCAAATAACTGTACACTGTATGTGACGAGTCATTTAGTCCCTTTGTGGCGGGATGTACAGTGTATGTCTCCCATCACGAAGGGGTTAAATATATACGTATTGTTATTGTAAACGGAATATGCTAAAACTTAAGCATGCCTTCTTAATTTGATGCATCTTTGCCAAATGTCCTGTAGTGTCCTCTACTATAGCAATTTTCCTAGCAGCCAAATGATACATCAAAAGAACAGCTCCACCATATAAGTTGGAACAAAAGTAATTAAAAAGACTCTGGGGTTCAATGAGAGCATGTCAGTTTTGTGCTCTATGTGCCTAGAAGATAACACATGTTGCACTGTTAGTGAGTATTCTTTTGGTAATCAAATGAGCAGGCTGGGGCATATTTTGTGGTTTTGACAGTGTATCTATAACGCTGTTTGGATGCTTTTTCATTTTGCTATCATGGATGGAAACATTTATGTTAGAGGGTAGACTTTTACTGAAGAGGTACCGTATATACTCGAGTATAAGCCGAGATTTTCAGCCCATTTTTTTGGGCTTATACTCGAGTCAGCGCCAGCGCGTCTTCTTACTTACCTCGCCGAGCGTCGCTTCTCTGCTGATCCAGTGTGCGGCGCTCCGAGCGGGGTCATCTGGCAGTCTCCGGGTCCTAACATCAGCAATAAAAAACATGGAGCTAAAAAGGTTTCTATTGCTGAAAGTTCATAAAAAAGCAAAAAAAAAAAGCCGGCATACATTGGGATTTCCCGATCTATACCAGCTGTCAGTGAGAGCAGTAAATGCGGCTCTGCTCTCACTGTCGGACACCCAATTCCTGAAAGGGATCGGGTGTCTGAAAAGGCTTAACTCTTTCAACATTCCCTTGTCCTCACACCCTATACACTATACCTTAGACCGCTGCAGCAGAGGGGAAAAGAGGCAAGTCAGCTCAGAGGATAGGGCGAGTATAACTTTATTTTCCTCCCTAGACCAAAGCAAGCAATTAACCCTTGCAGTGCGAAAGTAGCCTCGCTGCAAGGGATAATAAAAATGTTGCCGTAGTTCTTCTTTAAGCTTTGGCGGGTTCTTTCTTGCCAGAAGCATTATAAATTCTTGAACTGGCAAGCCAAATTACAAGTACACATACAAGTTGGACACGCACAACCGCTTATCAACTAAGTTCAGTGTAATAGGCCGCACCTAGTGTACATTTCTTATCAAATGTTTATTTGATCATGAAGAAAGGCAGATACTTACTATTCATCTGGCCGATACGGAGGAGGACTTTCAAATGGTCTGGAAGACATTCTTGATGGTGGTCAGAGAAGGAACCTAAAAATGAAAAATTAAGAGTTAATCAGCCTGTTTTATCCTGACCAGCTACTCGGAACTTTAATATAAAGTACTGGGACACAAATGACAATCCTCTAAGTATAGACCTGAAAACATCCATCTGATATAATAACAGGAAACAAAGAGGTGCATTATTCAGTAATCACAGTGTCTCATGCCATACTGTAGATGACAATAGATTTACTATAATAGGAAGCTCACTGAGCCATATATTAGAAAAACAAACCTTCCTAGATGCACTAGTTATCTAGTGTAATGACAGTTTTGTGAAAATACAGTGCTAGGATAAATGGGAAAGAAAAAAAAAAGGTCCATCAACATCTACTTGTGACTGACATTCCTCCGTCCTCTAATTACACACTGCCGTCACAAAGGATTAAGGGATACAATTTGAAATAGTACATCCTTTGAAAACTCGGTTTTCCCACTCAAGTAAATTTCCTGTTGGGTGCACAGAGCTAATTAGCATTCTTATGTTTAAGATGACTGTTTTTGTGAAGACAAGCACCACACTCCTATTTGGACTTCTTCCTAGTTAAAATCGCAAATCCGTGTGTTAGAAAAACTATTTTTTTTCACCGACACATTTTTTCACTCTATAGATCATAAAAATGAAAAACAAACATGAACAAAAACACATTGGCGTAGTGGTTAGCGCTTCTGCCTTGCAGCACTGGGGGTCCCTGGTTTGAATCCCGGCCAGGTCACTATATGCAAAGGAGTTTGCCTGTTCTCCATGTGCTTGTGTGGGTTTCCTCTCACACTCCAAAAGACTTGCTGGTAGGTTTATTGGCTCCTCTCTAAGTTGGCCCTCTATGTATGCATGTGAGATAGTGACCTTAGATTGTAAGCTCCTTGAGGGTAGGGACTGATGTGAATGTAAAAGTGGTGCGTAAATTGCTGTCAGCGCTATATAAATACCTGAAATAAATACCAACCCAAAAAGGTATAACTTGTGATTGGTGTACTTCCAAGGCTGGTGGCAAGTTTCAGAAGACTAAAATAAATCTGATTGACCTGGAAGACTCATGAACAGATCAAAGGATTTTTTTAAAATACATCTTCCCAGTTTTCTTGGTGTGTCATTGTACATCAGTTCCTGTGTATTCAGGGTACATACCTCTGCTGCCTTCCCCTATTTACACTGCAGTCTTACACTTTCAAAACTTGTAACCAGGACACATTAAACCTTGTCCGAGATCAAATAAAATCCAGCCCTCAATCTGACCATATTTAGGTAAATCAATATAATCTGGCCCTCAATCTGACCATATTCAGGCAAGTCACACATCCTTTTGAAGAACATGATCCTTCTTGGGACCTAAACCAAGGACGATTCTGGTAAAAAGTGGGTCTACTGAAAGGTAAGAGGATGTTCTCACAGAACCTATACTTTTATATAAAACTTTAAAGAAAGGGTCAGTGCCCTAAACAGTTGTGCCCTCTTTAGAACCAGAATTACAGTCACCATTCTGCAGAACAGTTGAGATTCTAGTGTTTCTGCATGCCATTCTTCTACTTACCCAGGCATTTGCTGAACAAACATTGCAGGGAAGCTGGAAGACATCACTTTGGCCTAATGGCCGTCATCATAGCTACAATAAGATCAGATCTACACCTGGGCCTAAAGCTGCCTATGGAAATTAGACAATTGTCCATGCATTCAGAACCCGGCTGCTGGATGAGCATTTAAAAAAAAAAAAAGATCTTTATAGAGTGAACAAGCATGTTTGTACCTATGGAGGAGAGAAGCCCTGCAAGCACTAGTGGTCTTAAGCTGCCCATACACCTTGAGATCATCGAATGACGCTTTTCGTCCGATGATCGAACAGCTGTACGATTCTCGTACGGCGGCCCCATCCTGCCCAGGTTATCGCAAGGTTGGATCAGCGGTAATTAAAAGAAAGCACCTGGACGAATTGCGGTAATCGACCGCACGTATTTTCGTCTGCGCATGTGCAGTGTAAATGTACGAATTTTGACGTACGGAAACGCCACCAACCTTGCGAAAATCGTACGATCAACCGAAGTTTTCTAACCTGCTGGTTAGTCAAAAGTCGATCGATTGTACAGTATTTGTGGTTGTACACTGCCCATCAACCTTACGAAATATAGGGAAAAAACGCGATCGCATACGGAAATCTGCCGATATTCGTAAGGTGTATTGGTACCTTTAGACTAACAATAACAATCTGACATAGCCTGTCCTAGCTGATCGTTTCCCCAAGCAGGCTCACACAAGAATCACTAGCCAGAGCTACATTACCAAAATAAACATTTTTTTTTTTTTGTTTTAAAGTTATTTTTGCCACCTGTGCCCCACCGGGGAGATTTCCCTTCACTATAGGTTAAACTTGTGTCTTTTTTCACCCTATGTAACTTCCTGTGCTATAAAACACATCAAAGGGGCACAGGAAATCCCCCCCTTAGACATTCCTTACTGAAGTATCCTCACTGGAAGATTTCCTCTCTATTCCTGTTCTGGTGACACCTGGAATATTTTTGACATCAGTTTAGGAGACAAAAAAAAAATAAAAAAATATATATATATAATTAGGGCTGGTAATGATTAAAATTTTCGTGTTCGATTAATCGAAATTTTTTTAAATCAATTATAACGCACATACAGATCCAACTACATTGGCCTATACACATACAGCAATAAAGTATTACAATGAAGAAGGAACACACTAATCCAGCACGTTATTAATCTCACATGCCCTACTCAATATGGCCGCCGCTTGAGTGGGGCAACTCAGAATAATAACGTGCTGGATTAGTGTGATCCTAGTTCATTTTAATACTTCATTGCTGTGCTGTGTGTGTATAGGCCAATGCCTTGGCTGTAGCTCGCGCAGAAAATAAAAAAATAAAAATGTAATCGATCAAAAAGATTAACACATTGAGATTGATTGATTGATTGATATATATATATATATCAATCAGATTATTATGACCTTCGTTGGGCCACAAGATGACTTAGTTGGGCCGCCTCGTGAAAATCACACACGTTTTGGCTTTAAAATACATCTAGAGTCCTAAGTATTCTCATGTTACACTAGATCTAATACTTCCCCGATTAGCAAGGGATTCTTAAACTACGTAGACTGCGGAGAAAGATCCCTACATGGGCTTACTGATATTACATGTAAATGTATTTTCTTTAGAATCGGATCTAAACCTCAATCCCATGAGTAGGAGTGTTAGCAGTCCAGTACACAAGAAGATTCTGGAGGAGAGGCCATATCTGGATTTCCTTTATCTGCCTTGTGACTCCATTGTAGACAATAGCTTTGCTGACAGAAGCACGGAGAACAAGTGCAGCGCTGGAAACTCACATGTTTGAGACTCTTGTGCTCTGTTTTTTTTACAGGAACACACCAAGAATCCTGCTGTGTCTATCACAGCCAAGTCAGTCGGACAAAGTATGCAGAATACAGGGAGGAAGCAGGAGAGGCCCATTCACAGGGAGTTTCCTCACATGAAATACATTTTTGGCCTTATTTACAAAGCTACTTTGCTTCATGTGAGCTAACCTTTTCCTCCTTGCAAATATTAGCCTAAAAATCCCCCTAGAAATGTTCTCCTTTAGATATGCAAAAACTATACAATCTGAGGAAAAAAGTCGAAACTGATCATGCAATTTGTATGCAATAAGACAGCCCCTGGTACTACACAGCTGCTGGTAGACCCAAACTATTGTACAAACAGATTAGAAATCCAGTTTAAGAGGAACCCATGAGTGTAGTAGAGGTATGGGTGCCACCAATTGATGGCTTGTTTTTGAAGTTTCATGGGGTGTAGCAAAACAAATATGCAGTTAGTGAGGTGTTGGGACATGTGATAAATACATACTTGTCCTGGGTCAGTGATCCCCTAGTAGGAAAAAGTACAACGACGCAAGCCTCCACCTTTAAAAGAAAAACACAAATGGAGAATTTTGGCATTACGCCCTTTTTTGCCCCGTCATTGGTAACCCTTCAAGATGGCTACATAGAAGCCTGTGCTTACAGCTTAAGGCTAGGTTCACACCTAGGCGATTGAGCTGGTGAGCGATTGTCGCACATTTCTGCTTTAATAAATCACGCAGTTTTCAGTGCATGTCTATGGTACCCAAACCGCACGACAAGCGTCCGAAAATAGCTCCTGCACCTTTTTGCACAATAGGTGATTTCTACCGCGTGACAAAATCGCAAAAGGTGTGAACAGCTTCCATAGACTTGAATGCAAATCTCTGTTTTGTGCGATAAGGCTAGGTTCACACCTAGGCGATTTATCCATGTGCATTGTACCACATCCGCCCTGCAGCACAGCATAACGCACGTGTGTGCATTCTGGTGTGCTGCATACAAAAAACAAAAAGTCATTTTTTTGTCCTGTCTGTTTGTAGCCTATTCAGAATTAGACTAACTTTCATGAAGAAATACAAGTAAAGTATCTCAGACTGAACGCATCTTTAATGTTGGGCTAGTTCACACCACTCCGTTGAAGAAAGGAAAAAAAAAAAAAGTAGAACGTGTTTTACTTTTTTTCAGCGCAGCATAACACAATGGATCTGGTGTGAACTGGCCCCATTCAAACCCATTCATTTTTCGGTGCCCTTCCGTTAGCATTCGTTGAAAAACGGACTGTAAACAGAACGGATCGAAGGCACAATTGCAAGTCAACAGACCCTCCACTGACCTGCAATTCCTTCCGGCGAATGCACACTAATCCCGAAAGCAAAAACATTATATATTGAGGCTTACCAAAATGTGGCGGCTGCATTAGCTTTCTTTTATAACCTTTTTTCCCCATTTTCACCTAGTGAACCGGCCAGTAATTCTGATATTTTTCAACTTCCTTCAACAGATCCAACTTGTCCAGCAAATATGGCAGATAGAGGGTTGAGACAAACCATTTAACACCGACAGGGGTGCTTACCATCAGCTTTTATTTATGGAAAACCTTTATCCAAAAATTTAAAAAATAAAAAAAGGAAAAGAAAAAAAAAGTTGCTGTAATTGCTTAAAAGAGTTAACTGCAGTTCAGATTTAAATTGCTAGCCAAGTCCATAAAGTGGACCATACACTGTGCAAATTTATTCAGTGGGGTCCCCGTGGGCACCCTTCTGTCTGGCATCCTTCCATCAGAACATAGAGACAGTCGGAAAATTTTTGGGAGAACAGTGTCAGGAGCCGATTGGCTGTCATCACTGTTCAGGTATTCTGACAGAGGCACACATCCTGCTGTCAGAATACAGTAGCCCAGCAGGAGCAATGCCCACCCATGCTGCTTGGCATGGATAGAGGAATCTTTTATTTTTTTTGTAATTCAGCCAATACAATTTAAGACAAGATGGTAAGGAGGGCCCTGCCCCTGAGGGCTTACAATCTAAAAGGGAGGGGCAAGTGATAAATCTTTTGGTCCTTCTAACACTACCCTCGCCACAGGGTGACGTTGCTTCTCCATAGAATGGGGCCACCCCAAGACTGGAAGTGTGTTACTGTCCGGATTACCAAGGGAGAACATAAGGAAAAAACCTAAGGAAAGAACCTAAGGAAAAAAGGAAAAACAACAAATGCAGCCGCAACATGTAAGAACTGGTAAGCCGTCATACATTACATTTTTGGTTTTGGTTTTAGATACACTGTAATTTACCGAACAACTTTGTATTAAAACCAAAAGAAGCACATTACTTAACATCTCCCATCTGCACCCACAAATGTTCTAACAGTATGGTTGTTGTTTTGTTTTTTTATTTCAAGCAGTGCAAGTACTTGAATTTGTCTTTGGTATTAGCCTCTTTCAGTCCAATGTAAAGTCTGTACAGCAGAGCTCAGAAGGGTAAGCGAAGCAGCTCATGGAGCCTGTCCTCTAAGCAGGCAGAAAAATTATTTTATGTCCTTAGCCATTTTCTTGGAATTTAGGTTTAATGGGATATTGCTTAAAGCAGAATTTTGGGCAAAACGAATTCTTGCAGTTGGGCCACCACCGCACTGCAAGGGTTAACGGCTCATTTTGGTCTAGGGAGAGAAAAAAAAATAAAAAGCTATACTCACACGAACCTCTGAGCCGACAGGCTGTGATAGCCCCACTGCAAGGGTTAATAGAAAATTTGGCCCGAAGTTCTTTTTCAATAAAGTAAATCAGTATATAAATAACTCCTGCTCATTAAATATAAAAATTGCAAGTTACAGACATGCCCATGTTTACTATTATTGATAACCGGATTGAACCTTTTGCCTGTTATCCTCCCACAATAGAAATTGTCTCATTTCTTAAAAGGTGCCAATACACTATTCGATTTTTGTTCGCAAATCAAAACACGAATGTGGTTTCGGCAGAATTGATCAGCTGATGGGAACCCCCCCCCCGATTTTAATTACTGTACTCCTGGAATAATTTCCCCCATCGGTCAGACTGGAAAACTTTTTTTGAGTCGAACCAAAATCGATGGATTAGTGGCGTTTGTATGAAAAAAATTGCAGCAAGAACACTGCACATGCGCAAACGAAAATCCGTTCTGTCGAAAAAACTTTTGTGTAGTCCACAAAAAAAAAAAAAAAAAAAAACGATGGATTAGTGCCGTTCAGACGGGGGAAAAAAAAAAAGAGGCAGCAGCAAGAACACTGCACATGCGCAACTGAAAATCCATTCTGTCGATCGACAAGATTCGGTGGGTTAGCATTGCTTTTTGAACGATTATCGAAATTGGACTGTGCATGATGGGGTATTCAAACGGAAATCGAACGAGGGTTCAATAACAGCACAAAAGGAAATTGAACGATAATTGCAGAGTGTACGGGCACCTTAAGAGTAAATAATTCCTCGCCATTGTACAGTGCCTGTATATTGAATCTGAAATGGCACTGCAGGCATCCCAATGCCTGCCATACACATAGGACACATTTCTAGCAACTGGATTGCAAACACGCCTTCCAACTAAGCCATTGGCGGTAGGCTGACAAGACCCATTTGACATTTTTGTAGCCGAATACTGGTTGAAGTGACCGGTGTTGTCAGATGTTTGACCTTTCAACCACAGATCTTTACAACATACTTATTTACTTTCTGCCAAACGATTGAAGGTGCATTGGAAACCAATAAGAGCCAACGCACAGCGCCATATACACAGCATTTTTGAATTACTCCAGTCACTAAAAACAGGGAAATACAGAAGGTGGCAGATTTCTCTGGTGTAGTGTCAATTGAACACCACAAAACCGGCAGCCAAGAATTTCCCTGACTCCTGGTGAAACTGGAAAACCAGCTTTCATTAGAACAAGTACAGCATGAACAGGTCCACGTGCTGCCGGGGTGGAGTCAACACTTAAAATAGCTTATTTGATACGAATATAATACACCCCAGCTAAAGGATAAACACGACACCCTTTAAAAGTATAGGCATAGACAATATGTCCTAGATCATCAGTTCTCAACCTTGTTAACTTTGTGGAACCTTCAGGTCTCGGGGAACCCCTGCTAACAGTTATACCTACAGCTCATGGTACATTCGTGATATGCGTAGTTGGAGAAAGGTTTTTAATAAGAGTATAGAGCATATGGTATACCTCGGGTATTTGACATCCATGGCAGATTTTTTTTTAACATCCACCTTCTGTATACAAAATTATTTTCAGTAATTTTGAAATGGAAAAGAAATATATAAAAGAGAGAAGAAACATAGATGGTAACAATTGTGGTGTTCCCCTAACATTAGTAGTCAGTTACTCCTTACTTTGGTGGTTAGTGGAAAAGTGTCCCTTTACTTTGGGTGTTCGTGTAGGTGGGAGATCAATTCACTTTTGCTCACTGCTCAATGAACCTCCAGTAACCTCAGGAGAAACCATAAGATCGCACTCGTCTAGATCAGCCTCTCTCAACCAGGGTGTTGTGGCACCGTGCGGTGCTTTCTGGCTTCCTCAGGGATGGCTTGAAATCTTTGCACAGTGGCATGCCTTCCCATGGTCCAGGCTGACCAGCCATGTAGCAGCAGCAGCAGTGGCTCTCTGATGTGAAAGTGGCAAACTCTGTGAAAGGGGAACTCTCATGTGAAGGGGGGGCTTCTGATGTCAAAAGGGCTCCTGATATGAAGAGGGCCCATGATGTAAAAGGGGCTTTGATGTGAAGGGGCTCCTAATCCGAAAAGCGGAACTCCTATGTGAAAGGAGAGGGCTACTGATGTAAAGGGGGGGCTTCTGATTTGAAGGGGATGCTGATGTGAAAGGAGGGGCTCTAATGTAAAGGGAGCTCCTGATTTAAAAAGGGGTAAACCCACTCTTTATTTCTCAGATAAGGATCTGTTATCGATCTTGGAGGGGCCACACATTTTTTTTTTACATTTTAGACTAGGGTGCACCAAAACTTTGCATACTTTTGAAGGGCGCTGTGACTAAGAAACGTTGGGCTAGTTAAAAGGCGCCATTCATATTGCAGTAATTCTAGAAGACAATTTGCTCCAGTTGTCTCCCAGACATGAAGAAAACATCCTGATCTCTGTAGAGACTGACATTACAAAGGATAAATAATAAAACTAAACAGTGCAATGTGTCCTGAAAACACCAAACCACCACAAGACAACTGATACTATGATGGCCGGCACTAACAGCAATACTATGTCAGTTTATAAACAAGGCACGGGTTACCAAGTGATAAGATCCTCACCACTGGGCACCCATTACAATGCAATGAAGGTGTCCATACAAATGAATGCTCTACACCCGAGATTACCTGGAACGGGAAATGTCACATCTATTAGGAAGCTTTACACGCCAGAACAACAGACAAACAATTATTCTCAGGCTGTCTACATTGCATGTTGGGGTTTATGCTTTGATTACACATGCCTATAGAATTGTGGTTGTTATTGTATCCCGCAGATCCTAGGCAGCCGTACATTTGCCGTTTTGGTAAAATCAGTGTAAATAGTTTTCACACTCACAAGTTATTACAAACAAGTTACTCTGGGCATATAATGGGGAACGCAGGCTGTTACATATGAATAAAGCAGGTCAGTGCTGCATCTAATGGGGGCACAACCAGTACAGGGGTATATCTGTGCCTGCGGAGTGTACACATTGTAACCTATGTACATTAGACATGAAAGGGGTCACTAACCCAATATATGCAGCCAGATATCAAGAAGCAATCCAACCACCAATATGATCTTTTACAGTATTCGCTTTTAAGATGAACTCTATAGCACTGATAAAAAAATAAAATATATATACCCTCATATATACCCCCTGAGCAGGTATACCAACAGAGGACAGGCCAAAAATGTCCCCAATTACCCCCCTCCCTCCCCCCACCACCACCACACCAAGAATAGACGCTCTGCATTTACTAGCCACAGGCAACTTCTATAGACTTCAATCAGAGCTCCTGACAATTGTTCGTTTTTCAGGCTTTCACAAAAACACACAATTCTGCCTAAAAAGAAGCTCATGTACTTTTCCTATGTAGCTTCCAGTTACAGGTGACAACAGAGACCACTGATAACAGCTGAGTGGGAAACACAACACAAATCTCAGCTGTGATCAGAGGCTGAAAACAAAAAGAATTCTTTGTAAACAGTGCGAGGCCGACAATCAGAACTGATCAGAAATACATGGGCTGAGATCCATTTGTCAAGAGATAACCTCACATGAAGTCTGATACAGAAATCACATAGAAAAGGTCAGGGACAGGAGAGGACAGGTATGGCAGAGCACGGGTATAGAGGGGGGGAGGACAGGTGCTCACCTGTGTACGGTACACACTCCCCTATAGACGATCCCAGTAGAATTGTTCGTCTCTCCCCAGACACAGCCAGTCCGATCTGGGCAGTTCGTGCTGATCAGATCGCTGAGCCTCCTAAGCCCCGCCCCCTGGTCGTCTCTCCCC